TGACTTTTGGTGGTGGTTTTCTTAGTTGTAATAGTTTTTAGGACTTTTAGACATTGCATCTGATCATTTCTACTCTTCTTTTGAGTACCGTCTTTCTTCCACAGAAAGCCCAGGAGCTAGAGGATCTAACTACATATTTTCAAAAACTTAAATATCTGTGGGGAAAATGACACGATGTAAAATTAGACACAGTATCTATCATAAAATTGTCAGTGTAAGTACATAGAGAGTATGTATCTTTAAGTCAGTTATTTTACTGGATTAGGTGCTTTTACCTTCATGCAGTAGTAAAATATTGTAGCCCCGTTTATGGAGAACAAATGCTACTGGCAGAATTGAAACAAAGCTTCCTTCCATCCCACACTTAGACATCTAGTTAGTTTCTCAGCAGCATGTAGTTGGTTCCGGTCCATATCACAAGGACAAATTTAGGCACTGGAGGGCAGACAACTTGGTATAGGTAGACTCACTTGCATACTTGAAAGTGAGATGAGACCACTCTGGTTTGTTTGTGTTCTTTATTTAATCCATCTCTGGCCATGGTTCGGTTCAACATATTAAACAGCGGCATTGTTTCTGTCATCCTAACCTACCGTGTGCTGGAGAGAATAAACTGAGACAGGGGCTTTTTGTCTGTCTTTTGTCTTAACGTTTCAGGATCAGGCATGGCTTGTATTTCAGACTCAGGGTGCCAGAAAAACAAATAATACACAGTACTTCAGCTTGTTTTCATTGTTCTTGTTAGGGCCAATTAGGCTAATCTTAGTGATGGTCGGTCAGTGATAATTCTTGTAAATACCTGGTTCCAAATGGTAACCTCTCTCTTCCAGCCCATCGCAACAATTTTAAAACCAGCTTTTGTTTTTGTTTTTTTGTTTTGTTTTCTTGCTTTGTTTTTTCTTAACAGGAGAGCCAGTGTAACTCCTTCAGGACTGGAGTGGCACACACATCAGCGTCTGTCTCATGTGAGTTCTTACTTTGGCAGCAGCACTCTGCTAGGCTGGAACCCCTAGAGGTTTGCGCGTTCATTTTACTAAAATCTATAAACTTCTACACAGTGTGTCTTGATGGCAAAGGTAAAAAGTGCATGAGAATTCCGGAGTTCCCCGTAGAAAGTTTCTGCTTGTTCTAAAGGAACTTTTCCCAATAACATAGGTTCCCTTTTTTTATGAACAACATTATCTACCCAAACAGAGCCTGCACCTTTCATTCCCACTACATGCAGTTATTTTTGCAAAGCTGTTTTTTCCCTTGCAGAGTATGGGGTAAAGAATATCTTTAAAGGCTTTCAGTAGCTTCAACTTTCAAAGCTTCGGTTGTTCTCTTTATAGTTGAGTTATGTAACCTGAGAACAGTGTGTGCTGTTTAGTGGCTGAAGCAGTCAGACAGTTTCTTCCTTTGTCCTTGGATATTGGGTAAGTTAGGGTAGGCCTGAGGAGCTGCCTGGAGAATAAGTAAGCAGTTAATGTGTAAGGTTATACTTACCTGAAGCCATTGGCTGGGTGTAGAAGCCTGGAAAGCCGGTTAGCTGAACTGTGCATTGCTGACCTGGTGTGGTTTTAATAGAAATTGAAATTGAAGCCTTTGCACAGGCTGTGGCGAGGCATAGAGCTTTATAGACCGAGGTGATGTGCTTTACCGCAGATTTCTGAGGCTGGCTTTGAAAGGCCTGGTTGGTTAAAACAGGAATTTTACTTTTTAATCTTTTTTTTCAGAAATTGTGATGTTTTGTAAGCTTCAGGAGTTTTTGTCACCATGTTAGAATAATGTGTTGATTCTAAGGGACAATTAGAATAAAACCTCTAAATTCAGGCCCTCTGCCACTGTAGTTCTGCTTCTCAGAACTTGTGTTTTGTATAGCTCTCTAGCAGATGCTTTAAGGGTATGAAGTCTGTATTGCTAAAATGATTATCCAGTAAGCTTAGGAGAAAATGTCAGTGGCTTGTAGGTCTTAGTAATTTAGAGTCTGATGAAATACAGTGTTGTTAAAATGAAACTTGAGCTTTCCTTGCTAAGTCCATTCCTACCTGAGTTTATTTTGGACTGTTTGAAAGAAATTGGAGGGAGAAGTAGTGTGTTTAAATATTCAAGCCTAAGTTTTGATGGCCTGTATAATCGAGACATTTACAGCAGTGGTTGTGTACCCCCCACAGTTTCGGACAGGACCCAGAGGGCCTAAATTCTGCCTTCAGCTGATATTTGTACTTGAATAACTTGGGGTCAGCACATCGGGTGGGTACATCATATTTCTGGGAAGTACCCTGAGGTCATCAAGAGGAAGGAATTTCTAGAAAATTACCTCAGTTGAGCATTTGGGAAGTTCTGCCCTGTGAATAAATGTATTATAGCAAATATACAGTGTTTTATTTTCTGCTCTTCTAGGATTTGTGCTGGCAGATGGGGACTTGAGATTTTTCCCCCCCTGTATTTTTTTTCACTAAACATTTTGAACTACTTTGAGCTTCAGCCTAAATTGGTCTCATAGACAGAAGTTTTGGTTACTGATAATTCTTGTACTCTATAATTACTTCATTTGTGAACAGGTAAAATTGCTGACCCAGGGGTAAGCTTCATTGGGGAGGTGATTAGGGTTTAATTTCTTGTCCCTCTTCTTAAGGAAGTCCAGCAACTTATCCTTCTAAAAAATTAATAATTGAAAACATTTTGTATGAGCCAGCTTTTATGAATATCGGTAGGTTACCCAAAGTATTTAGCTATATTGGAACTTTTTATTTCATCAAGTATTGTGTGAAATATGTGGGGCTTTGCTTAGGATTGAGAAATAAGTCTGTTTTATGGGAATTGTGTTAAAATGGCATTTCCGTGAAGTTGGGTCTGGGCATGGTGAGCATGGCTGCCTCACTGGTCACAGCTCCTCCTCTGCTATGCGCAGGGGCAGGCAGCGCTTCCTTGACTGCAGTGACCGAAGCCAGGTTTGGGAAGTCCACACCTGAAGCTTCAAGGGCTGTGGGGTGTTTTGTTTTGTCTTGAGGCAGTGAAGATGGGATAGATGGAGGACAGAGAATTGAGGGGCGGAAAGAAATATAGCTAGCTTTGAAACTATGGACTAGCTTTGGTCCAGAGTTACCATTAGCATTAAATTATTACTGCCCCCAAGACAACAAAAGAAACAGATAGCTTTTTAATAAACATAGCACACAATGAAGTTTATACAATTTACGCATCATGTGATAAAGAGAGGGTTTTTGGACATTGTTCTGATGAATGAAACCCAAGTATTTCTTGAAGAACCTTAACATTTAAAAAAAAATCTGAAAATATTAAAAATATTTTGAAAGCCCAGCTTTTTTAAAATCTCAATTTAATAATAAATCGGTATGTTACAAGTTTTAAAGGTACAGAAGTACATGAAAATCTCCTTTCCCTTTGACACTGCCCCACTCATTTTAGCTGTTTGCTTCATTGGAAGCAACTAGTATTGCTCGTTTATTTTATATTATATATAATATATATATATATAATATATAATATATATAATGTAAATATATATAATGTAAATTTTGTTTTGTTTTGTTTTGTATTTGGTACCAGAGATCGAATTCAGGCCCTTGCGCTTATACGGCAGGCACAGAAACCAATGAGCTAAATCCCCAGCCCTATTTTAAATACTTCTAAAGAACAGCTTTTGGAAAGGGAAAGTTGAATTGTACTCATTAAAATACAGCATTAGCATTAATCTGAAAAGGCAGACTAATTAATTGAAAAAATCAGAGCTATAGGGTAGAGATGTTAATAATAGACTATAATAACAGAATAATAATAATAGTTACATTAAGACTGACTATAAGAGTAGGATGGAAGGGCTGGGGATTTAGCTCAGTGGTGCCCTACCTGCTTTACAAGTGCAAGGTCCTGAGTTTGAGCTCCGGTACTGGGGGGAAAAAAGAATAGGATGGATATGTTTGTATACTATGAGTCATTTGCATATTACTGATAATTTTTAGGATCTTGCTAAGTCAGTAGGTTGCTCAAGCTGGGATGTTCTGTAATGCTCCTGCCTTAGCCTCCCAGAGTGCTAGGATTACAGGCTTGTGCCATCACGCCTGGCTATCTTATTTTTAAGATGGTTTACTTACTGCAGAAACTGATGGAAGGTTGCTAACGTAAATATTTCATTTGAAAGAAGCGTATTTAAAGGAGCGCATTTTCTCTGTGATGAACTGCAGTGATAATTTTTTCGTTATAGAAAAGAGAAACCCCCGTAATCTGAAGTCCATGTTACTTGACCTATAACAAACTCAGTATGCTCCTTTGGCAGAGACGGAGATACATAGAATTGCTACACACAGTTGCTTACCCACGCTGCCACAATCACCTCTAATAAAATGAACCATAAATCTTGAATGTCTGATTCCCAGTTCACATCAGACATACTGTTTTGTGGTTGGTTTGTAATGACACTTTGTAAAATCCAGTCTTGAAGGTTATTGTCAAGGCTGTTAAGAAAATAAAGTTAATCTTATAAATATATGCTGATTGGAAGAATATAAAGCACCCAAAGCCAAATAGGAATTCCAAAAATGGACAAAAAAATACTTTGAAGATCCCTATAAAGCACATCAGTGAAGACTTTGACAAAGAGACTTCTTGTACTTAGTTTTGTTTACTTATATTCTCATAATTAGTTGCACAGCTGTGCATATAGTTGTTTTTTGCCCCCCCCTTTAGATTGTGAAAATGAAAGGAGAAAGAAACATTTAGTGTGGGTTTCCTTAGAATGAAGGGACTGTTCTGAAATGTTTGATAATTCTTGTTTCTACTGCTCTTGATATAGTATGACCTATTTCTACAGACTTAATAGTTGAATTCTTAAATTATTTGTGGGGGAGAAGTACAAAACATAGAGTTTAAGGTAAAGAAGAAAAATGTCAGATTGAAGAGGAAAGAGGAATTGGGAAAGAGCTAAAATTAATTCATTTGCCTTCTCTTTCAATGGGCTGTTCTATATGCTGACTGATAAGAACCTCCTCTCTGTGCAGTGTACAAGTCCCCAGAGTACGAGTCCCTTGGCTTCGAGCTTACTGTGGAGAGGTTAGTTTCTATTGGTTATCCCCAGGAGCTGCTCAGCTTTGCCTATGATTCCACGTTCCCTACCAGGTAATTTTTCAAGATTTTTTGGGATTAAGACCACGTCTCCTGTCCCCCAAATTCTGAATTCATCCCTGTCCATAAAAAGTATATGTCAAATAATTCTCTGTCTTGGGGTTGTTGTTGATTATAAAATTGCCCTGAACTTTTCATAGACACTGTATCTTTTGTGTTCTTAAATTGAATTCAATTTATAGCTTTTGAAAAAGACCACTTTATGGGTAAGGATATTTAAGCCTGACAGGCAGAAGTCACAGATTGTCCTATCTGTTCTGCCTTTAGCTGTTAGAGAGCAATTACATGTTGTGCTAATTCATTAACTTGGTAGTCACAGGTTTCTTGGCAGTTTGAGTTTCTGGACTTGATAGGGAAAATTTAAAATTAAGAAAGATGACGTTTATTTGAAGTAACAGTCAGATGGCCCATGAACAACATCTAATAAAGGGAAATACACGCCAGTTCAGGTGTCCGTGAAAATGTAAAGATTCTGCTTTAGAATAGTACCAGTTATTTTAAGAGGAATTTTAGTTCATACCTGTTTGATTAAACTCCTTCCCCCAATGGAAAACAATTGTGATTAGCTGTGTGGAATAAATTTTTAGTTGCTCTGGGAAGATTTTATTTACATACGTTAGCCTCAGACTACATTATTTTGGGGTATTCAGTTGCTACAAAGCTTGAGTTAGATGAGGTTGGTTCATAGTAGTTGGTTACTGTTTCTGTTAATGTGCATTGTCCACAATGTCTTTATTTTCATAGAGGACTTGTCTTCGACACGCTGTATGGAAATCTTTTGAAAGTTGATGCTTATGGAAACCTGTTGGTCTGTGCACATGGATTTAACTTCATAAGAGGGTAAGTACAGAGGACCTTTAACTTCTTTCTAGTGTCAGACTATATGAAGATGACATTGTCTCCCCAGAGGTAATATACTTCCCTGTTGTTCTGTCATTAAAGAGCCATTCCTCTGGGTGTGTATGTGTGTGTATTTGTGACAGGATCTCACTATGTAGTTCAGGCTGGCTTTGAACTCATTACATAGTTCAGTCTGGCTTCAAACTTGAGATGATCCTCCTGCCTCTGCCTCCCAAGTGCTGGGATTATAGGCATGTATCACTACATCCTGCTAGAGGAACCATTCCTTTATGTAGCAATAGTTAACATGTATTAGGCAGTTAGAATCCAAACTAATTTACAGACACAAATAGCAATTACATTTGTTTAAATTAAGTGCCTTCTAATTATAAGTATCCAATAAAGCTAATCTTGGAAACTTGCTCAAAAAGAACTGTAGTTGTTTAGACTTGTTTGAAATTCTATTATTTTCTTTTTAATACATTTCTCAGCTGCTCAGAAGAGATAGGTACATAACAGTACTGTACTTTGAAAAATTTTAAACTATAGCAATTCAGTTAAGATATTTAGGGCATAAGGGCATAGTGGCACCAGGCTCAGTGGCAGTGCCTGCCTTGAAAGCACAGGGTCCCGAGTTCAATCCCAGTTCCACACATGCACACAAAATAGCTAATACATTGTTTTTTACGTTGTAATGAATGGCTCTACTTTTATGATTTAAAAAATTAAAACAGGGCTGGGGATTTAGCTCAGTGGTTCCACCGCCTGCCTGGCAAGCACAAGGACCCGAGTTTGATCCCCAGTACCAAAAAAAAAAAAAAAAAAAAAAGGTAAAAGTGAAAAATTAAAACATAGAATTAAAAATGACTGTAGGGTAAAGTTCCAGCTACACAGGAGGCTGAGGCAGGAGAATCTTTGAGGCCAGAGCCTGGACAGCATAGCAAGATACCATCTGAAAAAAGAAAGAAAAGCAGGATAAAATATTTAAAACAAAAAAGGTTAAGCTTTATTTTCATAAGTGGAATATTTCTGTGATTCTACTTGGTTATATCACTTTTCTTCCACTGTTTTTGAAGACCCATGAATATCAGGAATGGGGATTTTTTTTTCCTGTGCACAAAAATGATACATTTATTGAAAGTTTTTTTTTTTTGTTTTGTTTTTTTTTTTTTTTAATCAAAAGAAAGCTCTGTGCATAGGACTGTAACCATGTCCACCATTCCTGGGTCAGCATCCCAGGGAAAGTAGGAACCACTGACCCACACACTCACATTCACACATACACACCTACTCGGTCACACGCAGATGGCACCCAGAGCCATTGAGGAAGGAAACATCAGTGGTCCTGCCCTCCCAAGGCCCAGTGCACATGACACACATTGTAAGCACTTTGCCTCACTCACTCACTGGGCCTGTCTGCTGCAGGATGGAGGAGGAGCGTCTCCTCCCCTGGGTGGGGGAGCAGGCTGAGAATGGTGGTGGTGGTGTGGAGTGAAGTGGGCAGAGCAAAGGGGCTGGACAGTTACAGACCGGAGGCCCAAGCTCCCGCCTCTGCCCCTGACTTGCCATGCCCCAGCCATAGAAGCCACCCCGAAACCGCGGCTGTCATCAGGATAAAGACAGAGAGATGACTTCCATCTTGGCATCCTAACCTGGGGTAAGACGACCACTGGGTGGAGGTTAGGGCAGATCATCCCCTTGGTAACTAGGCTGTGCTAGTCTCCCACCCTTCACTGAAGAATAGGTATTTAAACTCAAGGCGATTGCATAACTCAGAGTAGTAATGAGGATCAATCAGGGTTCTATTTTTGCCTGAAAAGGGATTTTTGCATTAATGAGAGAAGAAAAGGAAGAAAAGCTATTCAGTAAATTAGTTTTACAACCAATTTACAAACTCATGATCCTCTCTTTTCCCAATAAAGTTCCCAGATAGCTCCTTTGAAAATATATTTAATAGTGTTTCAGTTCAGAGTAGAGTAAGTCATTTAAGAGAAGTGCAGAATCTTTTAGACTGAGTATGAGCACCATGTGTGCTGAGAGTCAGAAGGAGAAGCCTCGGAAAAGAGGACCTCAGTGCATAGGGTCAGGAAGCCAGGCTTCCACCCGGGTCATGCTCCATACTCTTCTGATTGATTGCTGATTTTTCATGGGGGGGAAAACAGTTTATTTTGTAGATTACAGAAGATTAGCAATAATCTGTACATTTTCTTCCCAACTCCAGGTATAGTGTTCCTTCTTTGTGATAAATTATTATAGTGATTATGTTTTTACATATATATACCAGCACCATCTAACATTTAAGCAAAATGCAATTAGTAACATATTTATGAGTCAGTTTGTATTGTAACTGCCTAATAAATAATTGCGGACTACCTTTATGTAGAAGAATTGCTCTTTAATGATGGGAGGGCACAGGAGAATTATTTATTTAGCGAGCCAGTATCATTTACTAAACCTGACTGAGGAAAATGCTGTACATGCATTCCTTTCATCACAGAGTATCTGGGAAGGCTGTGGGATGAAATAGTCTATATTTATTTCAGAAGGATTAAGAGGTACTAAGTTGGGGCTAAGTGACTTTATATCCTAACTTGAGTTTGTGCCAATTGTGCTTAGTAAACTCAAGCAGGAATTTACCCAGCTCACTTTGAGTATTAACTTTAAATTTGGTTTTGGTTATTTAGATTTGTTAATTTTCATATATTCACTGTGAGAATTGTGCATTTTTATATTTGAGTCTTCTCATTTCTCAGAAATGCTTTTAATACCCTCTCCTTCTGGAGGTGATTTCACTTTCCAAGCACCTTGGCCATTCCTGACAACTTCTATGTCACTGGCTTTTTTTCCTTTTATACCCTGAATGTTCTGCATAGTTGTTCAGTTGTTCTCAGTCTCTTATATTCTAACCTTTTTTTTTTTTTTTTTTTTTTTTGGTACCGGGGATCAAACTCAGGACCTTGCATTTTGCAAGGCAGGTGATAGCACCACTGAGCTTAAATCCTTGGCCCTACTCTAACCATTTTCATAGTTTCATGTTACTTTTGCACAGATGATTATAGTTATCTGTTGTCTGAATCTTTCATTCTTAACCTTTTTTCAGTGTGCTTACTAAAAATCTGTTATTTCGATCTTAGTGTAGCCAAAACAGAACTCCTGTTTTCATATCTTTAGTAACAGTACCAACCACCTTTCAGAGATAGCTTACCGTAAGCATTACCTTCAACTCTACATCCTTCATCTGCCACATCCAATTAGTTGCCTGGTCTTGCTCATTTTTCCTTGGCAGTTTCTCTTAAATACATTTCTATTTTATTTTCCTTTGATACCACACTAGGACAGGCCCCATTGTTCTCATCTGGACTACTACATTATGACCAGATTTCCCATTGCTTTGTATCAGTTAGCTTTTGCTGCATAATAAATTACTCCAAAACTTAGTGGCTTGAGACAATGACTGTTTTATGTACTTCAAAACTGTGAAAGTCAGCTAGGCAATTCTAGGTTGCTTAGCTGATCTCTGTGAGCTATTTCATGAGTCTCTGGTCAGCTGTTTGGCCATTGCCTGTATGCCTCATTTCTTCATGTTGCCCTTTGTCATCCTGCAGACCATCTTACTGTCATTTGCATAGTGGTCTTGGGTTCCTGTGCACCAGGAGAGACCAAGTCTTAATCCACAAGTATCTTTAAGACTCTGCTTGGATTCCATTTGTTGCTGTTCACACCTGTATTCAAGGATAGAGAAATAAACTGAGCTAATTTAGTTCAGTGGCACTGCTCCTGCCTCACAGGCGCAAGATCCTGAGTTTAATCCCTGGTAGAGGTGGGGGGGATATATATATTACATTTTATCCTAAAACTGCTACAAGTTAGTCTTTACACCTTAGTTCTGATGGGTTTACAGACTTCAAATAGCACCGTCATGACACTGCATGAATGAAGTGAACAGACAACAGCATGGTCAGTCCCAACACACCTTCCCAACTGTACTTTGCTTTTGCTTTTCTTTCTCTACTAGAACTGGACTGGTTTCTGCACTTCGCCTTTAAGGTCCAGCTTATGGACATCACTTTCATGAATCCTAGGTTTCTCATCACCTCCTCAAGTTCATTTTTCTCTGCCCTTTAAGTTGAAATGATTTCTCTTTAGTTTTTTCATAGTTCTTTGCAGCTTTTTTGTAGTAGTAATTTTTTTTAACCTTGTTATAGACTTGTTTATGTGACTTGCCTCCTCTATCACAGAACTCTTGAGGGCTTCCTGATCAAATAGCTCCCCATGATTAATACTTGGAATTTTGTTTGGCACATAGCCATCAACATATTTGAACAAATTTTTGAATAATGAATATGTCACACAGTTATTTGGTATTTTGAATATCAACTAATTTTTAAAATTTTCTTTCAGGCCAGAAACTAGAGAGCAGTATCCAAACAAATTTATCCAACGAGATGACACTGAAAGATTTTACATTCTGAACACACTATTCAATCTGCCAGGTAGACTCATTCTATGCTTATATGTACTGATACATTCCCTCTGTCCATGAGCATTTGTCTGTGCTCAAGGGAGGTAATGAGATATGTTTGCATTGTTTCACATAAAGCTTATAAATATCTATTTTTCATTTTTCAGAGACCTACCTGTTGGCCTGCCTAGTAGATTTTTTTACTAATTGTCCCAGATATTCCAGGTATGTATATACAACAATTCCTTATTCCAGTTGATTTTTTAAATTAATGTACAGGGTTTTAGAGAACTGGCCATTGTAGGTCTTTTCTGCTTTTCTGAAGTGAATTTAGTGCTAGTGAGAGATGCCACATTGCCAGCCTGAGAGATGGACAGCACCAGCAGCTCCATGCAGGCTCTCAGCTCCCACACGCCCCTCCTTGCCAGTGTGCTGCAGCCATACTTGGAAGGGACCACTTCTGATTGGCTTCTCCTGGGAATGAAGACGCCAGCAGAGGTGCTAATTGTGACAACTGAGTGGGAGGTTTGTGTGATGATTATCTGTCCAAGCAGAATTACACTAAAACCCCCAACTCATTTCACAGCAGCTACCCAGGAGCCATTCAGGGATGGTAATTTAGTTCCATTCCCAGCCCCAGCAAGATTTCTTTGAGGAGTAAATACTGTTACCTGGAATAAAATTGTTTAAGTTTTGAACAGGTTATCCTGTCATTAGGGGAAATTCTGAGGTCTTTGCTAAAAGTGTAGCCATACTGCCAGAGTTTGCTATTTTCTTAAGTTAGGCTTTATCTACTTCAGGACACTAAATTTGATGGAAAGCTGAGTCACGACACTTAGAAAATGGACAGTACCTTTATACTTGTTTCTTCAGTGAGAAGAACCTGTTTATAAAAAGTGATGAATAAAAGAACCTGGTGTTTTGAGTTTTGGCCTTTTAGTTTCCATTCTGTATATTCTATCATATTGTATTCCATTAAACCCTAAGGCCATTTCAGGTGGTCAGAAATCGATTTTCATTAGGGAGTAATTATTTTCCTAATTAGCTAAAGCCTGTATACCTGTGCAATATGGAACCTGTGGGTCCCCAGGGCAGTTGTTGATTTTTGTTTCATTCACTCTCTTTTGGAATCCCTGTCATGTCCTTTTCATCTTTTTCATCTAGCTGTGAGACAGGATTTAAAGATGGGGACCTGTTCATGTCCTACCGGAGTATGTTCCAGGATGTGAGAGATGCTGTTGACTGGGTCCATTACAAGGTATTCAAGCTGCTGCCATAGCTGATCACTCTCTGCCGCGTATCTCATGATCTGATACTGCCTTTCCAAGAGCAAATGGAGCACAATCTTTCTTCTGTTTAAAAAAGAATGGTCAGGAGCAGGGAATGGTTTGCCCTAGCAATAGCTTTCTGAAATACATTTGTTCTTGTCTGGTGAGCTTTCCTTAGTGGTGAGGCTTGGGTTCTGGATTTTTAGTTTATATTATTCTTACTTAGAAGGCATCTTAGTTTATGAGACCATACATAACGTACTTTGTGAATGGTCCTTTTTCATCCCCCTTGACTAATACTGTTAACTAGTTAATATTAAATTTATATTTACTATAATCTTTACTGAATATAATATGAAACAGCTTTTAATTTCTAATTTAAAATAGAAACAGTTTTATATTTGAAGACATTTTGGGAGGCAGAGTTACTGCAAATCATATCTACCACTTTTTCCTGGCCTTTTCTAGTTTATCTACTCCATTTTGGTAAATACATAAATTCAAGCAGGGTATGGCAGTGCATGCCTGTAATCACAGCATTTGGAGGCTGAGGCAGGTGGATCAGCATGAGTTCAGGGCCAGCCTCAGCTTCACAGTTGAGTTCATAGCTAAACTACAGAGCAAGACCTTGTCTCAAAAACAAACAAAAAAACCCACATAAATTCATTTGGGTTGATACTAAACACGTTTCCTTATAAACTAAATGTTAAAAACTGCACTTATTCTCAGTTCCTTTTTTTTTCTTCCTCCAGGGCTCTCTGAAGGAAAAGACAGTTGAAAATCTTGAGAAGTACGTAGTCAAAGATGTAAGTACTAAAGGTAAAAGCAGACCTGCATGATAGCTTGTTTACCTATTAAGGAAATGAACAAGCAGCTCATAGCTGGACAAGAGAAGATAGTCCTTTTGTGGCATAGCATTTGCTAGGTGTAATCACCAAGAATTTTCAGCCAGAACACAGGCAAGAAGGCCCAGTGTTTCGTTTGTCCCTTTAGTCAGTCACAGGGAGCAGCCGCATCACCTATGCTGTGCTGCAGTGCACTGCGCCACCTCAGCTCCATGTAGTGTGAGGTAAACAGTTTGTCACCTCCATTTTCATACACAAGAAACTGAGGGAGAGAAGAATTAAGTATCTTAGCCCAGATTGCACAGTGAGCAAAGCCAAGATTCAGAGCCAGATCATAGCACATGTATGCCTTTAACCTGTCAACAGCGAATAAGGAAAATAGCTTAACAGATAAGTAGAAAACTGGTAAATTTTTTAAGAATCTATAGTTTAATAGTATTTAACCAATGTGAGTTTTAAAATTTTCATAATTATACTGTGATTCAGTAAAGTCTTGCTATTAAGGGAAATTGAATATATGGGACTCTATTTTCATAAATTTTTTGCAAGTAAGTATAAAATTATTTCAAAACAAAAAGTAAACATACAACCCCAAGTTGAGATACCTCTATTTTCCGGAGTTGCAAAGTACTATGGTAAAGTTTTGTCTTCAGGACTCATATATCATCTTACCACCTCTTCCCCTGTTTCAAGAAAAGAACCTTGTATGAGGAGGTTCAGGAATTCTGTGTGTGAAGGAAGCTATTTGTTATGATAGAAGAAGGGTTAGAATTCCCTCCTCTGCGGGTGGGCGTGGGCATTTCTGGGTCCCTTCTGTACCTATCTCATTGTATAGGACACATTGTAAAGCCATTGTTAGCTGTTAACTCTGACACACCTAACTCACTTTCCCCTGGAAATTGAAAAGCTATTTAAATTCTTTCCTGAGGCAGACATCATGAGGAAGACAGATGCTGTTAATGACCACATGTTATTTTACATGTGAATCTGTGTGCGCTACATGCTGTGTGCTGCATATGTTAATATTCTGTTCATGCACTGTGACAGTGTGGGCTTGTAGGTGCCGAATTCTGAAACCAACCAATTTTTAAAAGGCTTACCATATTCCTATTTCAGTGGACAAAAATCTAGAGCATACCTCACAGTGTCTTTGTATTTTAGTGTTTTGTTTATTGTCATATTACATTTCAGGGAAAACTGCCTTTGCTTCTGAGCCGGATGAAAGAAGTAGGCAAAGTATTTCTTGCCACCAACAGTGACTATAAGTATACAGATGTAAGTGCTTAATATTCATATTTATGAATTAAGAGAAATTATTTTGGCCTCAACTATGCAGATCATGAAAAGGATAGAAGTTTATTAAAGGAAGGTAGTTTCTTGCCATTTCATTTTAAAAGCAGAGGGATGAGCCATACTAAAATCATTCTGATTTTTTTCTGAATACTTTTTGACCATTTTCCCAGATTACAGTTGGCTACTTGCAGGCTTTCATTTGGGAGCTATTTAAAGCATTTATGCCAATGAAAATAGCTTCTGTGCATCTTCAGGGGCATCATAAATTAGAGAAGTCATACTCTATTACACTTCCTGCTATCGAAAGTCTTGTAGCAATAAATGGGGCAAAGATGTTTTGAGCCTTAGCCATCAAAATTTACAACTGTTCTTTGTTAAAAATTTTTTACCATGGTTAACACACATGGAAAAACTGATTTAACTCCTTAGCTTAATTACAAGTTAATAGTGATGAGTAGTTCTGCTGGCCCTAATTCTGATTATCTTTATGTGAAAAGCTTGGTAAGAGGTTAGTTCCATGAGTCATTAATTTTCTCTGTGCTTAACTGTTTGTGTCCCTTAACTCCCGAGTGTGTTCCAGAAGTTGTGCTATGGATGAATTTGTGTAGACACATCTGGAAGTGTATCTTGCTTAAGAAATATCAGAAGCCTTTGTTTTTTGTATGATGAGTCATTAATTTCTAGCCTCCACTGATGATTCTGTAAACCTTAGAGGAAACAATGCCGTGAAACCTGTTGAAAAACATGTTTTATGAAAATCTTGTAATTTTTTTACATGTCATGTGTCTTTGCAAAAGTAGCATATAGAACTTATGTTGCACTTTTTTTTTGTTTTCAGAAAATTATGACTTACCTGTTTGACTTCCCACATGGCCCCAAGGTACTTCCGTAACTTAGTAGACCACTGTTTAGCAATAATGAATCCATTTAACCATTTGGGAATAGTTAGGGAAAGGAATTGGTCAAGATCTACACAGAAAAATCCTAGATTTTAAGCCTGTTGTCTAATCTTCACCAACTTTAGAAGTAATCCAGGAGCCTGAATTTCATATCACAATTATAGCAGTTTTACTACTTAGTAGACAGAAACAAAAAGGAAGTTATGTCGTATTAGCAGGATGGGATCAGACTTTCATGCCTGTGAAGTTCTGTGCATAATTGTGTTTAAGAATGAAATGAATATTCAGGTTCAGGAAGCTACTTGGTAAAAGCAGAAACTGTGAATGTGTATATCCCTCACAGATTCTAGATTCTGCTAGTAACTACTGCTGAGCTTTTTGCCAGGGGAGCAGTTAGCTTTGGGAGTTAGCAGGGAATTCTTCATTCCTACAGCATAGCTGCACTGCCAAGGGTTAAGGAATGTCCATTACAGCCTAGTCATGTATCAGGAGAATTAAAGTCTTAGACTTCGGAGCGCACATCAGCAAATCCCTGTTGAGACCACCCAGAACCTCAGGGTCCTGTGCTTGTCAGTGTGCCCTGGAAGACGGGTGCTCCTGGTTACAGGGTGGGTCTGCCTTCTGCAGCCACGTGGTTACCTAGAGCCACCATTCCAAGTAGAGCCAGGAACATCTTCCAATGTTTAGTTGTACTGCAGAACGGACTCTACTGTCCACCTGTCCCCCTGGGCATCTCTGCACACACACACACGAGCACACTCTCATGTTAATGCACAGTGACTCGATACTGTGATGCTGTAGCTCATAGAATGGTTTGAAATGCCACGATTATTAGTCATTATTTAACACCTGCATGTTTCCAAAGGATATGGCTCATAACTAGCCACAGTGAATTTTTTTTTTAAATAAAATGAGATTTTCTGGACATACTTGGTACTTCTGAATTCCTTGCTTTGAGAGTGAGACTAAATACCAGTGTCTTAAGGTATAAAGAGTGATGTTTGGGTTTCTTCTGGTTTTTCTTTACCAGCCCGGGAGCTCCCATCGACCATGGCAGTCCTATTTTGACCTCATCTTAGTGGATGCACGGAAACCACTCTTTTTTGGAGAAGGCACAGTACTGCGTCAAGTGGACACTGTAAGTTGAGTGTTACCTGTCCTGGTAGTACACTGACCTTCAGATTTCTCCCTTTGTCAGTCCTGGTCTCCTTAAGAAAACCGGTATTTTAAAACTATTTGCCACATTTCTCTTTTGAGTTTGGGTCTTGCCTGAGGTAGGCAAACTACTAACTAAAAAGTGTAAGTAACACTCATCTGGCTGAGTAGTGCTGTGGGTAGAGACTGTGATCAGATGATGGAATATCAACTCTTATTAGAGTCCATGTTCTCTCCACATAGAAAACTGGCAAGCTGAAGATTGGAACCTACACCGGCCCCTTGCAGCATGGCATTGTCTACTCGGGTGGTGAGTCACAGCCTTCCCAAGTCTTTGCTCAGGTGTCCCCAGGAAAACTGTTACCTTGGCCCTTAAGAATTTGAGATGTCACGTACGACAGGTCGTTCAGCCGCCTACTAAAACGATGGCATTTAAAATTGAGTTTCACATTAGAAGGATCAGTTTCCTCCTCCTTTACCTTTTCGAGGCTTTTTCTCCACATTCTGGCATCAGTTGGGGTGCTGCTCAAGGATCCTGTGTGGGCGCACACATGATGTTAGGACTGCAAAGAGTTGAGTACAGCCGAACTTAACGGCAGGTCAGTGATGACAAACAACAGTTGTGGTGTCTTAGTTACATTCACTGAAGTAGTGACATGTAATTGTGTTGCCCTTGGATTTGGTGATCAGAGCTCTGGTCAACATAGTGGAGCTAAAGGCCTTGTCATAGAGGCAATAAAAAATGGCGAGTCTTCATCACAAAAGAGTAAAAACAATCAGTATTGAGTAGTCATGGTACTTTGAATGTTGACTTTAGTAGACACATTTTTGTATTCTTGTTCTATTTTTTCAGGCTCATCTGATACAATATGTGATCTGTTGGGAGCCAAGGGCAAAGACATTTTATATATTGGAGATCACATTTTTGGAGATATTTTAAAATCGAAGAAACGGCAAGGGTGGCGAACTTTCTTGGTCATTCCTGAACTTGCACAGGAGCTACATGTCTGGACTGACAAGAGTTGTAAGGATCTGTTACTCTTACCTTGTAAACCTTTGAAATGTGGCTAGTTTATGTCTGAGTAGCCAGCTGTGATTGCACCCTCTTCTGATAAACCATTACAGTGCACTTGGGAGCTGGTGTCAAAAGGGAGGCCCTGAAATGTGGGCCTTAGTAGAATCTCAGATATTTTATAGAACTCCAGAATTTGAACATATGATGTTATCTTGTAACTTCTTGAATTCCCAAACACAGAACGCTGGTATCCTGAGTTGTATCCCATTGAGCTCCTGTAAAGGACCTGCGTGTCCCTCTGGTGTTTCACCAGCCACACTTAGTAGACCTGCTGTCTCGGCTCACATTCTGTATCTGATTCTGGGGCAGTGATGGCTCTGAATAGTAATTACCTTCTGGTATTTATCTTTTCGTCGGAGAAGTAGAAAACAAGGCCAAACCGTATGCTTGGACTAAGCCACTGTGTGGGTGCAGCACATATACTATATTGAGTTAAGCTGTGGGATTATTATATAAAAGTTATTGACATACAGGCTGTCCATCAGACTCTAGTGAGTATCACAGTGAGGTGAAAGTTGCTTCCTTTAGAAACTTGGCCTGCCTGGAGTGGGTCTCTGCTCCACACTTAGGCCCTGCATGCTGTGCTGTAGGTTAGAGAACCTGTACCTGTACCTGAGTCTCCTCAGGAACAGCAGTGGTGCTAGCATCTGCCTCGAGCTGGTGAGGCTTCCCTGGGGCAGTGTAGCTACAGATTCTAAAGAAAAGGGATGTGACAGCCCAATCACTGGAGGCTCTTCTTCTGAACATCGAGCAGAAGCAAAGGATTTCAGTGACTTTCCTCAGTTCCCTTAAAGATGGTAGATAGAAAGAAATTTGTTATAAATACTGGTTGGAAATCCTGCAGTATATGCTGGCTGTTGCTATTACTGCTGTCTGTATTGTCAGTTTTTCCAGCTAGCCCCTTACCCACATCTTCAGCTTTCCATCTTGAAGTTTTAGGGATCCAGTTGATTGGCTCTACTAGTTCCTGGGCTTGCAACTCTGGGGAAGTCACCTGATCCTCAGTCCTTCATCTAAAAATGGGATTATCAACAATTGCTTTGCTGACTGAACTTGAGACACGGTAGCAGCGAGCATTTTGCAAGCTCAGAATGAGCATGCAACCGGAAGGGGAAGTTGTGGCCAGTGGGGGCTGAGTATTGGGGGTGGAAGTGGGGAGGCACTGAGAGAGGAATTGTGGTGTTCATCTGCTGCCAGACTCTACTAAGGGTGCCAGCGGGTTTTCCTGGAGGAGGAAAAGGTCATTTATACACCTGCACGCAGCATTTTAGCGCTCAGCCATATTTGTAAACTATGTGTCTTAAAATTTGATTTATGTAAAACATTTTTCTTTCCTTTCTGAACCTCAACTAGCACTTTTTGAAGAACTTCAGAGCTTGGATATTTTCTTGGCTGAACTCTACAAGTAAGTTTCCCAATTCCAGAAAATTTCTTCCCTAAAAATTGTGTATCTCTTCAGGAGTCATACAGATTTCAGAAACACTGGCAATTCTCACGGGTTTTCCTCTTGTCTCCAGGCACCTTGACAGCAGTAGTAATGAGCGCCCAGACATTAGTTCCATCCAGAGACGTATTAAGGTATCTACACAGGATCTGGGAGGAAGCTTGGAAAACCAATTATTGACACGATTTCCGTATTTCTGATTTTATAGAGGGAGTAGCACATAGCTGGTGCCCATTAAGTGTGTGCATTGGGCTGAGAACTGTTTTGTGTTGTAGAAAGTCACACACGACATGGATATGTGCTATGGGATGATGGGGAGCCTGTTTCGCAGTGGCTCCCGGCAGACGCTCTTCGCCAGTCAAGTGATGCGCTATGCGGACCTCTATGCTGCCTCTTTCATCAACCTGCTGTACTACCCGTTCAGTTACCTCTTCAGAGCCGCCCACGTCCTGGTGAGCAGTGCGCAGCCCGGGGCTGGGGCCCACGCCTATAACCCCAGCTATTGGGGAAGCTCAAGGCCAGCCTGAGCAACTTAGCAAGACCCATCTCAGGAGGTGGGGATGCAGCTCAGTAAGAAAGTGCCCCTGATTATGTTTAACTCCCAGTACTGCAGTAGTAATAGTAATAAAAAATCGACACTAAGATCACAATCTGCAGTGCGGTTTTGTAGGATGCCACAGAGCCTGTGAATAGGTTATGTCATGGCACAGGGGATCTTTGAAAAAATATGACCACGATAGAAGTTTACAGGCTAGAACTTTAGTCCCTGAAGTCTATCATGTTACACTGACTGGAGAATACCCTCTTTGTCACTACTGATTAAAAGAAATGTGGCTGTAAAAAATTTCTGTGTTGATACCAATCTGTTTCAGCACTGGCTATGGAATAGAAAGTTAGGACCACTCTCTTCTGCCTCACCACTTTGTTTTAGGCATAGGAAGAAAGGCAGCGTTAGGCAGTAGGTCTGTGAAGATAGCATTGTGGGGCTGGGGATGTAGCTCAGTGCCACTGCACCTGCCTTGCAAGCACAAGGCCGTGAGTTTGATCCCCGGTAACCAGAGGGAGGGAAGGAAAGAATTTTGTGTGGCTCTCAAAGGAGAAAAGTTCGGATGTGGGAGGAGTGATAAGGGTTACTTCGCTCTGCCTGCCTCCCGATCCCTGGCTTTGTTCCAGATGCCTCACGAGTCCACGGTGGAACACACACACGTGGATATCAATGAGATAGAGTCGCCCCTCGCCACCCGGAACCGCACATCTGTGGATTTCAAGGACACAGACTACAAGCGGCACCAGCTCACAAGGTCCATCAGCGAGATTAAACCCCCTAACCTCTTCCCCCTGGCCCCCCAAGAAATCACACACTGCCACGATGAAGACGATGATGAGGAGGAGGAAGAATGAGGAGCAGAGCCCACAACTGGCCACCCTAATCGAGCACTGGCAGAACTCACAGAGCAAAGGCTGCCCTTGTTTAGGTTCTCCCAGGGAGGGTGGGGGCCCCACCAGAGGTACATCTGGAAAGTTTGTCAAGACTTTAAAACAGCTAATCATAGAGACCGTTGTTTTAGTTCATGTATCTGTGTTGTTTTTGTGGAGTGGTTCACAGTTGCAGCGGAGTCCACTGGAAGAAAGTAAGGCTGGGCGGGTCGGCGTGCACCCAGGTGGCCCCACATGGCCTGTGGCCGTTTTCCAGTCTCAGTCGTCATCGGCACGTGTCTGGATGTGCTGGGGTGGCTGGGGCTGGGCCGTGGAGCAACGAGGACCCACAAATGCTGGTTTCAGATTGTGCTGTTACTCCGGAACCCAGCCTTTTCAGTGCTTTACACAATGTCGTATACCAGTGGAGAAATACATTGTTTTCATTATCCAGTGTGGTTTCTGCTGAAGTCAAATTTCTTCTCATAAGCCGTCGAATATTCTCATTGACTCTGGCAAGGCTGTGGCTCTGTCAAATGCCTTTTCTGCTGCAGTGCCAAACCGGCCGGACTGCAAGGAGTCTATCTTGAAGCAAAAAACCCATCCTTTTTACACTTTCCTAGGTTGTGATAGCACAGATGTTTGTTATCTAAAAACGTTTTTCTCATAGTTGAAAGAAGACCGGAGCAAACTTCCAGAAAAGGGAAGAGCAAGCCTCAACTGCACAACTGCGTAAAGTGAACCTGGCTACAATTCCAGTTCCTGCTACCCAGTTCCAATCTCCCTTGCGTTGGGCACAGGATAAGAGGCCATTTGCTGTAAGCCAGACCCTTACTATTACAGCAAAAGGCACAACCAGTGCGAATAAGCTCACTTTGGAATCCCAAGTGGAGTCACTTCTTGCTTTGAACAAGAATGACTCAGCGCCAAGTGAGGGCGTTAGGAGGGGCTCCTTGCCAGTGTTGGAGTTGCTCTGAAACGTTTTCTTACATTCTTACTGCCAGCGATCAGCGGGAAGGTAAGACCAGCTGCTCTAGAAGGCAGTAAAGTGTAGTATTTCTAATACTGACTTTGACCCCTTCTATAGCACAACCAAGTAGCCAACTGGTCTTCAAGTAGGTTTAGGTTTGGTTTAGTGACACGTTTAACATTTTAAGGGACATAAACATTTTCCAAAAATGCTAAACATGCCCACATCTCTTTTGGTTAAAAGAAAGTAATCAAGAATTGATACAGTCTAACACGATTATATCTGCAGTGCTTCATAGACTTGAGAATTTTTTCACAAAGTGTTTTGGCACAAGACTGAAGTGAGATTTGATTTGGGGGGAGTTATGGGAATTGAACTCGGGACCTTGCACTTGTGAGGCAGGCAGAGGAACTACTGAGATAAATCCCTGTCCCCTAAAATCAGATTTTTAAAAAAGTCATTTTTAGAGGTAACAGACACAGATTAGTACTTAAGTACTGTCCATACTGCCTACGCCTGGCTGTACATAACTCATGGCAAGAAATTACGTTCTGACTGGCATCTGAGGAATAGGCGCTCTGTTAAGAGCAGGCTAGAAGTGCTTTTGCAAGCAATAATGAGATGCTACCCATTTCAGAGTTTGTCACCCCAGTCACTAACTTTCATCACTCAAGTGAAGATGTTGCCCACTTTGACAATCTTACATTTTTTCAGTCCTAAATTTTTAAATGGCTTGTAACTCACGTACCTTACAGTAGTATATTTACAAATATTTTCCTTTATAGAGCAAAGACGAAGGTGATCACTACTTTTCATACTTAGGTATTCATACGCCAACTTACTAGTCAGATACTTCTCCACAGTGAGATGACTCACTAGATACACTTGAGAAGTAGAAAGCAGCACATGGTGGAATAAGACTCCCATCTTTGTTCAGTTCACAGAACAGTACTGGAGCTGGGACCCATATGGGGCCAGAGAGCAGTGCGGTGCTGCGCACTGAGCACGTGTCCCAGGGAATGATGTTTCTCCCGGGCACTGGAACAGCTATGGCTGGGCTTTTCCCATCATGACTTGGTAGTTTCTCTCCACTTTCAATAATTAAGGAAGCTAAACTTAAAACATATACTCTTGGTTGTTTGTTTTTTTGAGACAGGGTCTCACTATGCAGTTGAGACTGACCTGGAACTCACTATGTAGCCCAGGCTGGTCTCGAACTCACAGTGATCCTCCTGCCTCAGCGTCGCGAGTGCTGGGATTACAGATGTGCACCATCATGCCCAGCTACTCTTCCTCTTTTGAAAATAAAATTTGGGGGGGGGTGCGGTCATGAGAAGACACATCTTCAGCTCTGAGAAAAATTTCCTAGGTGTTACGAAAACAGCACTTAAAGGCTTTGTAGACTGTCAAGCACCCCTTCCTGAGAGCTAGGAGAACTGCACTGGGGCCCGTTACTGCACTGGACTAGGTCAGAGGCACAGCAGGCTCAGCTCCAGCTGGGTCTCCATGGGAGACCTGCCCAGCATTGCACATGGATTGGTTAGAGCTCGGGTAGTATATTTCAGAAATCATTTTTGAGGCCAGGAAAGTTTTAGTATTGTGCTTGAGACCTAAGATTTCCTTGTGCAGCTCTGTTGAAATATAAAATAACCAAGCAAGCTCTTCAAGCTACCCTTTCTGAGATGCTTTCAGAAGTGATTTTCTTTTTTTGTACCAGGGATGGAACTCAGGTGGTAGAACCACTGAGCCAAATCCCTGGCCCCAGAAATGATTTTTAATAGAATTCTAATAACAAGCTACAAACCCTTAAGTCATGTTAGCATTGTTTTTAATAAACCACTTAGAAAAGCCACATTGCAGTTGCATGTCAGATTTAAAAGTACTTTGTCCATGTTTAGATATTTCTAAATCAGATTTGTTTGTTTAAGAAATATTTTGTCAACAACTTTAAAGCCCTCAATTTTCCAAGGCTGCCTGGGCATTTTGAAATACTCTGCTTAGTCACCACAAATAGCCTGAAACAAACAATTCTGCATATTTAAGTCTGTATTAGGGTACAGACTTTGTCCACATTCCATGTTACGGAAACTATTTAACCTCTCTTTGATAGTGGGAAAAATGGTAACTATGACCTAGCTACTGCCATACCATTAAGATCCTAATTCCTCCCTTGGTTTAGTTTAGGTTGCATTACTTACGTTTCTCATGACATTCTTCCTTGGTGACTAGAATTTCCAGCTTTTCAATTTTGTCCTCAAATGGAATAATTTCAAGCAATAGACAACCTTTAGAGGTCCTGAGAACAGACTTCACATGGAGCTCCTTGGTGGTGCTGGGATGGAAGACCCGCGTTCAAAACTGCAAGGCAAAGGGCTGGCATACACATGTGGCAGCCAGAAAGCAGACTCAGTGACTTCGAGTGGCTAACACTGTCCCATCAGACAACTCCACCAGCACCTCACACGGGTCTCCCACTGCACCAGATCTAGATTCTGCAAGCAAATCATCTAAAATGAGTTACACAAAAAATTTGCTGTTTTCAACCATTTTTCCTTGTTAAACTACATCCCAAGTCTACAGCAGTCTTAAAAAGGTAAGTTGTTTCAGAACCCAAGGCAACCATATGCTGCAAAGCAACGTCTCGGCAGCAGCCCTCGTGCAGCAAGGCAGGCCTGTGAGCCTTGCCTAGTCTTAGTTTGTGCAGGTGCGTATTTGTGACGTCACACAGTGGAGTCACTGGTGTATTTCTCGTTCCCATCAGGACACGACGGTTGGGAAGTTAAGTTCCTCTGTAGAGCTTTCACAGAAAACTTCCTACCTGAGCTCGTACATGTTTTCATCTCAAACTTGCTTATAAGTAACCTGTATTTTCCAATTTAAAATAATCAGTTTTGAATTTGGCCTCTTTATATTTCTTAATGCAAAATAAGATTCAGTACCTTGGTTGTTTTACTAAAGAGCAGATGAGTAGATTGCTTCATGCAGCAAATGCAGAGATACGTCCCCAAATGCTGTGCTGTCCCACCAAGGGCTTCCTGACGGCTGTGGATGCCTGAAGAGAGACTGGGCGAGGTCACCCTTTGCACACATGGGCCTAGGCAGTAGGGTGCACGTTCCTCCCATGGACAGACTAGTGGGCCTTCCAAGTCTCAAGTTCCGAGATGCTTGGGAAGAGGATTTGCCAAGCAAACCCTCCCAACGTGGAGAAGTATGTATTAAATATCTAGTCTCTTTAAAGGGGCTCCTCACCAGAGGTAACCTTTGACTTGTGGGTATGGGTATTTTCAAGCAAGTAACTCTATGTTTCTAAAGTCTAACTTGAGCAGAGTTGGCTCAGCGAGAGCTGTGCAGCCTACTGTCGGACACTTCACAGGCACTAACTCCCCAGTGGGAAGGGCACGTCCGACAGGATCCTGGCATCCTCAGGCCTCAGTCATCTGCTGGGGAGACAGCTTGCCATCACAATAACAAAAAGCATCCTCCGACCCTCGCTTCATCCTGGGACTTGCTGAAAGGAACACACGTATGAGGCCCGTGGAGAGAAGCAGCAGCAGTCATACAAAGAAAGCCAAAGAGTTTATTAGCCATCTGATCCAACTTTGGGCTTTAATAAGAAATCAGACTATTTACCCTCAGAAATTTTTATAAAAGTTCCACAAATCAGTTCCAGGCTATAAAAAGGTCAGCTTGTATTTCTCACTTTCTCTGTAAGACTGATGAGTATTTGTCCTGCTGGCAGGAAAGCAGAGAGGCTCGCAGGAGGACAGCACTTCACTGGGACACCTCCTGCTACTCCCAGGAAATGGGCAGCAACTGGGGAGGCGAGATGGTGGGTAGGTCAGTGCTGCAGGGCTAATCTTGTGGACAGGTCTTCACAAATGTTCCCATCCACAGGACGGGTAAGGAAAGTGGAGTGCCAATGGCATGGTTAAATACAGTGGGGAACTACACAAGATGAGTCGAGAAGTCTCAATTCTCAGAGCATGACCATCTTTCAAATGTCAGATAAAATCAGGAGGGGGAGAAAAGGATTCCAGAAAGAATATGGCCTAGGAATGGATCAGAGGGGCCCTGAAGCCCAACGGGAAGACCTGAAGGGACAGCCATGTCCACAGGATGAGGGACAGAAGACCTCAAGTAGCGATGAGGATCATAAATGGATTGCTGGGGGCTTCCACAGGGTCCTCCCAAGCATCTGAACATGTTCCACACACACCCAGTGTTTAATTCTCAGGTGACCCATCCATGCCGACTCCCACCTTAGAGCTGTGATGCGGGAAGACCTAACAAAGCTATTCTTGCTTGCAAGAGCCCAAGAAAGGCCTGCATGAAGCTTGTCTAGGAAAATACAAGTGTGGTCATTTGCCCAGCTGAATTGTACACTGCGGGTGGCCGAGCAGCCAGTGTCTAGGCAAGCTGGCTGCATACTCACATAAGTATCCAAACCTAAGGGTTAACTGATGGGGAACCGACCCACATCCCCCAGAGGTGGCTTGTATCAGTCAACCTGGCACTGAACTTGCAGCCATTTCTCTGTCAACACGAGACAATGTCTTGTCCAGAGATGCCCTGCTGTGCAACCTTGCTGAGCTCCACTCCAGCTTCCCCAGCAGTAGGTAGTCATGCAGTTGGGCAGAAGCCAAGACTGGACAAGATGGCATGACGTGTTGTACAGATGAAAGGGGAAGGAGGGAACACACGTCTAGAAGGGTGAACAGAAAATCATTTATCTAAATAGAATAATAGAAATAAACAAAAACCTTTTTTAAACAATCACAAAATTTACAAATAAATTGGTACAAAATAAATAGATTGTAAATCTACAACATCATTTGAATTATAAAATGCATTATGACAATCAGCACTTGAACCCTATACACTTGACTTGTGCTTATTTCACTTCATACCTTTCTGAGTGCTGTGCTCAGAAAACCGTCACTGCTCAAGGCATGAAGTGTACACCATGACAGTGGCTAAAGGCTGAGGAGGACAAAGACACGGAGCAGGGGTTTACGGGAGGGCCAAGGCAATGTTGGCACTGGGTCTCAAGCCAAGGCAAGGCATAGGGACAGCCCATGGGCTTCCAGTCTAGAGATGGATTCTGCAATCCAGGGTGTAGGTAGAGGCCGTCACTGTGCAGCCAGGCAATTAACCTGTCTTGGGAGGTGGGAGGGAGAGGGGAAAGAGGCTGTGTCTCAGCCATGCTGTACCACTGCACAGGAGGAGACCAGCCCCCAAAGGCACCTCCCTCAGGACTTCATGGGGGGACTTGCGAGCCCCTGCCACAAGGTAGGAGACCTGGCTCTCCAGAAGAGGTGGACCCAATAGAAGGGGCTGGGATGGTAGGGCCAACTTAAGAGCAGCAATGTGTTTTTTAACAAAACAACAAACCATTGCCTTCTCACCCAACTTAAGGGACAAGAGAACCCTAGGGTCCATGGATGAGGGGCTTTAGTTACAGACGATGGACTAACAGTAGAGGCATATGTACATAATAAATAATATAAAATAAAGCATATACATTTGTGAAATTAAAGGACTGCAAAAACAAGTCAATGGACTGATACACTCCACCTTCCAGACATCAGACGTAGAAAGTAATGAATCAGAAGTTAGGGAGGGGGGTTACTCTGGGGAGTGAGAAGCGTAAGACCTCACCTTCCCCACTTCCCTCTGCTCTGAGGGCTGGGACACCAGCTGTTTGTGATACTCAAAGGGCCTGAGGCTCCAAGAAAGAGGGCAGATCACCGAAGACCATCAGACCCACGTGATAGTTCTCTTCGGGATGTATCTTCCCAAGTGAAGGAAACCACCTTGATCATATGGGCAAACACCAGAAGGTACCCCCAGGTGAAGCAAGACAACACCCCCGGTCAGCCATCCAACATGTACCTGGTCTCAGTGGGCACTGACTCCTGAACACGCGTCTGTGTGTGCAAAGCTTTCTTGCTGTGTGTACCGGATCTGTGTAAAGCTTCGAACAGAAACACCTACAACTTGACTCTTGCCACTAAGGCCTCTGGTTCCATGTTTAAAGTACCACTTGGAACTCCCCATCAAAACAAGCTTAAGATGTGTCTGGTTGCAATGATAGTGGTTCTGCATCAGGGGAAGGTTACTTGAACTAAGCCGGTCGGACTGTAAGCAACAGAGGTCCCCAGCTGAGGCAGTGGGAGAAAGGCTGCTTCCACTCTGCAGTAGTTGTGAACACCATCTCCTCTTGTCCCACAGCTGACCAGAGAATCTGGAATGGGAGATTTCAGATAAAGGAAGCTGCAGAGGAAAAACTTGCAAGTAAGCACTGGCTGCAGGCAGAAAGTAGGCAGCTCCTGAGGGAAGACCTACTTGTCACCGCCATGAAGGACAGTGCTTTATCAGTGTGCCGGGTCTCAGCGCCACTCAACCTCAGAGGGAGGTGGTGAACCTCACACCCCTGACACTTCCAGACCTCTCTCTCGTCAGCTCACTCAAACAGAAGTTAACACAGCCCTGAGGTATGAAAGTCCACTGAGTAGATCACTTTTGTTAAGTCTGTATCAGAAAAGCCTCAGAATCCCAAGTCTACTTTCGTATTCAACTCTTAAGTCCTTCCTAGCTCTGGGTTCACCAACAACCCGCCCAGTTACCCTTACAGGGCAGAAGCACTGCAGCCCAGAAGGGAGGCACAGAGAGCCCAGGGGACAGCCAGTCTCCTCAGTCAGGAAAGGGCTGCCGGCTCCCTCGCCAGCGTCCAGAACACGAGCAGGGGCCTCAGGTCCCGCGGTGCCATGTGTGAGGCCCAGGGAGGGCAGCACCTTCCCGCACCACTGTTGGGGAGTCATCTGCCTGGGATCAGAGTTCTGGGGAGACCTCACTCCCTGGGCCTGGGCCTTCACAAGATGTCAGGGCCAGCAGTGTTTTTCCTAGCCAGAACCTAGGCTCAACAAAGAGCGCCTCCAGAATTTGAGAACAGGAGTGTAAGGTCCCTACTTAGCTCAAAATCCTGTTCTTCCACTTCCTGGGGAAAATGGGTTTCTCTTCCAGTCTACCGTTATCTTCCTAGACTTGGAGAAGCTGGTCCCTTAACTGCATGGAATGGGGTTAGCAGGTTAAATCCATTCACGTTAGTGCTCTGCATTTCACACTTACTGATTTGCACAAGTTCCTCGAAATGCCATGAGACAGCAGTAGCAAATGCCCACTCCTGCCAGGGAGCAGCTATGCCTGTGTCCACACACACTGAGCTTGCAGGGAGCGAGGAGAGGCAGGAGGATGAGCCCACTTGCCTGTGGCATCTTTTCAAATTATTTAAGAACCAAGGTTTAAGCTAGTTGACTCGATTCCCAGTATCCACGCACAAATCATAGGGTTCTGTTTTCCCAAGAGTTTTTAAATATATGATTTTGGACTTGCCTGATAAATACAGAACAATGAAAGGAAGGAACCGCTAAGACAGGAGGAAAAAGCCTTGTCTACAGAGAAGGCAAAGTGTCCGGGAACATTCAGATACTAGGAATCCAGTTCCGGTGGTGCCTTCAGAGTGCCAGGGCAGTGGACTGAGAGAAACCACTGGGAGGAGGTGAAGCCCTGGCGGCAGCCGTCTCCCCAGCTCAACACCCACAGCCCCTGCACAGCCAGACAGCAGCCCGAGGGGAGGAGCACCCAGCCAGAGTCGCCACACCAAGATCCCAGCTACCTGCTGTCTTGCCTCGTCTGAGCCCCTGGCTTTGCTGTACAGTGGCTGGGCCTTCACAGCCAAGACCCAGCTCCTCCAGCCCAGAAAAGCGCGGCCCAGCACGGAGGGCCAGTGAGGCTGGAGGAAGAAGCTGTCACTCAGCTGGGGCCTTGTATGACGGGAAGATGTTGACATCTGTTCTGCCAGGGACCAGGCAGGACCTAGTCCTGGATGCCGTGTAGTTATAAAACAGTATGAATCGTCAAAGGTAAAGAGCCATAAGTTAACAGAAGAGTTCAAACATGGTGCGCTTCGGGAGCCCCCGCAGAGCCACCCTGCTAGCTCCTGAGGACTCGGCCAGAAGCCACCTCCCTCAGCGGGTGATGGCAGGGAAGGCTCGGCTTGGCACTGCCTCTGTGCCCCACAGACTCTCGCCCAAGGCACCCACACAGGACCCGCAGACCCAGTGCAGCAAGGCGGCTGCTCCTCCAGGCCCTGGGCCCGGCCTCCACACGAGGTGGCAGTGTGTGGGGGGGAATCATGCCCGGCAGGCCCAGGCTCACCGCGCAGGGGCACTCGACATCGTACATGTGGCACGCCGGTGCTGTGTTCAGCTGGGTGCACTTTAAAGGGGGGAGCTGACGTGGGGTTCCACTAAGGTCATGCCACAGGGGGGCTCCTTCCCGCAGTGCCGGATGGGGACACAGCCCGGCCGGAGGAAGACACTCCAGGGCTGTCCCACTGCTCAGCAGAAAGCCAGCCCAACATGTCACGCCCCAGAACTGCTGAGCCCAGGGCCCACACACAGGCAGAAACTCTTCTCTGCCAGTGGTGGCACAGTGGGCAGGGACAATCCCTGCAGGCAGGTGACGGGAACTCTCAGCAGGTGAGAGCTGCCAGCGAGATGCACAAGGCCTCCAGATAACACCCGACACCCAGGTAATCCAGTCAACAATTCAGTCACACAAGGACACCTGCGACATTAACGTCAAAACACATGGTGAATTTGGTATGAAAAGAGGACAGACACATGACGCGGCCACAGCACACATATGGTTTCTGAGTCCCCGTCTGGGGCCAAGCTGAGCCGGCCTGAAAGGCAGGGAACACAGCTGGACCTGGGCCTGGCGATCCCCAAAGTTCCCTCCTTAGAAAGGTGGGTCTAGAAAGGCACCCCATCTGCTGGCTGCCTACACTGGGCAGCAGCGTGGCCCCCACCCACGGTCATAGGAAGGGGCGTCAGGGGCCAGGGTGGCCAGGAATGGCAGGGTGCAGTCAACTTGCCTCTTGCCAATGATAAACCATGAGCTTAAAATTCATTAACATTCATTTTGGTGATAAAAATTGCTTACGGTGGGAGCAAAATTCACATTCCCAAGCAAATAACCCTCCCTGAGGGAAAGGGACGCAGTTAAACCAAATTGCAAGATGACACAACTCAGCGGCCCCCCCCACGGCACGACCCTGGGTCCCCCTCACCGTCCTCAAGTTCGCAGCAGCAACTGCGGGCAGAGGAAGGCGCCCGAGTCCATCCGCTCAGGGTTCACGTCACAAAGCACAGCAGAGTTGAGAGAGAACCACTTACAACTCTGCAAAAGACACTTTTAAAAAACATGATCTCTTGGAAAAATAAATCGCGACAATTTTCAGCTTCATGCACATTGAGGGAGGAGAATGAGTAATGATAAAGGTACAGCTGAAAAAATAAACGTGATTCTATTTGGGTGGAAGTCATCTCCGGTCTCCGGCACCGTCCCTCGGCCTCGCACGCCTCCCTCCTTGCTCCGCGCTTCCGGGAAGGGACAAAGTCTTTGGTCTCAGAAGGTCGTGGACGCGGGTCGGCCCACACCGCCGGCCTAGATGGCGCCCTCCCCGTGCAGGCTGTGGTTGGCCTTGCCGTGCACCACGCAGTTCTGCTCGGTGAGCAGGTTGGCTGTCTCGTCCGGCAAGCCGTCGTGCAGCTCCGTGAGAGTCAATTCGATCTTAGCGTTCTCACCGTCCGACGACGGAGGGGTTTTGTCCATGCGCGATGCCATCAAGGCATTTTGGTATTGCTGCCTGGAGATCTGGGGCCGACACAAACCAAGGGGCACAGTCAGGCCCTCTCCCTCTGGGCCCACACATCAAAGCCCTCGCCCCGCAGTGCTCTACGTGAAAAGCCATCCTGGAGTACAAACTAGCCATGCTCTTTTCTTTGAGACGGGGTCTTGTTAAGATGCCCCAGCTGCCCTCAAATTCCTGAGCTCAAGAGATCCCCCGCCTCTGACTCCTGGGACTACAGGTGCGCGCCACTCTCAAGTCCAAATTGACTCAGACGTACAAGTCAAATCTTACTAATGTAACCCATTTCCAAATTTCACCTTAAATTTCACAGATAGCCAGGCATGTAATCTCAGGTACGGAAGAGGCTGACGCAGGACTGCAAGTTGAGCCCAGGCAATTTAGAAAGACCTTATCTTGAAACATAAAAGCCAGAGCCGGGGATTTATTTAGCTCAGTGGTTCCAGAAGGCGTCTGCCTTGCAATCGCAGGGTCCCAAATTCGATCCCCGGTACCAAAAAAACAAAACAACAACAACAAAAAAGCCAGGCTTGGTGGCGCAGTCCTGTCATCCCAGCCCTTTGAGAGACTGAGGCAATTTGACGCCAGCTTCGGCCAAATAGCACGTTCAAGGCCAGCCTGAACTACATAGCAAGACCCTGTTCCTAGAAAGACAGACAGTTTTAAAAGGCTGGGGATGTAGCTCAGAGAGGACCCGGGGTTTGACCCTAGTATCACTACATACATACATATATAGCGAGACCCTGTCTCAAAATAACAAAGGCTGGGGAGGTTGCTCAGTGGTGGAGCTGGATTAAGACTCCAGGTACTGAAAACATTTTTCAGACACTGGAAAATCAAGACCGGTTTGTACCAGTTAAAACGGGCCTGATCTCCAAAGAGGTCTGTTTCAGACCTAAGAGAACCTTTCCCCACAGCAGAAGGAAGGAACCAAGCCCCCACCCCACCCTCCCGGAAGTGGCCCGTCTGGGCCGGAAGTGCGCTCCCAGGCCCCGCCCGCTCACCTTGACGAACTGCAGGTCCGAGAGGGCCCGCACCGAGTAGTCGGGGATGTAGACTTGCAGGAAGGAGGAGTTGAGCTGGTTATTGCTGCTGCCCAGCGTCGGCGTCACCGCGTCGAGCCGCTCACCACGACTGAGGGACTCCGAGTGATTCAGGCCGCACGGGCGCGGGGGTGACTTATTCTCACCTGCAAGGAGACAGCACCTGTGAAGCGGGCCGCACGGCTGTGAGACGATGTGGGTCCCTTGGCCCAAAGTCAGCTCCTCCTCAGCGCCAGAAGCAGAAGCAAAGCTCAGACGCTCACCTTAAAGAGAACAAAACCCTCCTGCCTGCTCAGACCACTCCGACACCGTAACCCCTCGGGCAGCTGGGGAACTCGGCATCTGAGAATGCCAGATGGGGCCAGGCCCCTAACAAGCCCGGCCCAGATAGCTCAGGGCCGTGGGATCCTTCAGTGGGGTGTGGATGGCCTCCTTTCATTAAGATCAGCTAAAACTGGGTGTGGTGATGCACGCCTATAATCTCACTCTCTGGGAGGCTGAGGCTGGAGGCTAGCAAGGCTGAGCCCAGCATGGGTAGCTCAGTGACTTGAGACCCTGTCTCAAAATTTAAAAAAGGACTGGAGGTGGAACTCAGTGTGAGGCCCCGGGTTCAATCCCCAGTATCACCAAGGAGAAAAAAAGGAACAAAGGAGATGCAGATGAGTGTTAAGTGCCCCACTCTGAGAGGAGGAGTGCTGTGATTTTTAATGTAAATTTCATCAATAACCCACGCCAGGGCTTCTTCCTTGTTTGTTTTTCTAAGCGACTCTTGCACAGATGTGAACTGGGCGCCTGCATGGTGTCAGAGTGGAGGGGACCCATTCTCCCATTTGAGAGTGGCTGTCCCTGGCATACACTCCCGTGAGCACCCGTCCACAGCTGGCCCTGTCCTTCAGCCATCAGAAAGTGTCACGGGGCCGATCAAAAGCTGCCACCTTGGCCTGCCCTCCTCTTGCTGCAACAGACCTTAGGATTCTGAAGAGAGCTCTGTTCTCCTGGGACTCTTCCCCTCTGTTGCTCTCAAGCGACGGCAACCCCTCAGCCCTGACTTGGCTGCAGGGCTCTCAGAGGAGGCCACCACCGAGTTTGTGCCTGCACTTGTCATGTCTTGAGCTAGTTTTCCACTATTAGAGTTAAATTCAGGCCAGCAGCGCCTCCTGCTGCATCCTCCCATCTTCCAAGAGAACAAGGCACATTAGTGATTTCTCAGCAAAAAGAACTCTGAGCAGGTGACCGACTTTGCTAAAATCCAAAATCCTTGTGTGTGAAATGTGCACAGTGACATACCACATCACACCATTACCATTTTCCTGTTCCTTCCTGCAGCCTCCACTCTGACCTCCCCGTGCACCCTTTCTCAGGACTGAGCCTTTCCTCACAGGATGGACCCAGCAGCTCTCTTGCTTTCCAGGGCCCGATGGGCCAGTGAGCTGCTGCTCAGCCCCAATTCAGCCATGGCAACAGTGACAGCCTCCTACGCGCTTGAGGGCAGACACGCCCTGCAGCACGCACATCCTGGCCATTCCGGGCAGCCCACAGAGACCTAGAGGACCTCAGTCGGGAAACAAAGGCAGGGGTCAGGTTTTGTCTCCGAGTGTACATGGCAGAGTTGGATGCCAGCAATTACGAGGAATGCTGGGCCCACCACTGGCTCTCAGCACTGCGATTCTTCTTCTGGTGACCACCTTGACTTGCTGTCTGTCCTGTCTCGGACCCTTTCCTCGCGGCCATAGTGGGGCAGCACAGTGGCATGCCCCCACTAGGAGAGCATGGAAGCTGCCAGTTCAGCTGAGCCCTGTCTACCAGGCAGCTCGTCCAGCAGCCTGCAGGCCAGGACCGCAAGGTGGACTTTTCTATTACTGGATCGGGGCAGTGAGCAGAAGTAAGAAATCTAATTTTACAGCAAAATCAAAATAAAAATGACCTTTCTAAGGGCTTCTGCCAAAAGTCCTCTACTTCAGATCTGGAACATCATAAATAAGTAGCAGAAGCGGGAGTGGTGGTGCACGCCTATAATCTCAGTGCTCGGGAGGCTGAGGCAGAAAAAAACTGCTGAAAGTCTGAGGCCAGCCTGGGCTACACAGTGAGTTCAAGGCTAGCTTGGACTGCGTTATGAGACCCTGTCTCAAAAAAACTAAACACCACCCAAGAATAAAGAGGTGGCAGACAAGCAAGTACAATGGCGAGGAAAGCAATGGGGCATAAGCACAACGCGCACAGACGCACTCCACGGCCAGTCCGATTTACACAGCTCTGGATCAGGTTCCCCCAGTACTCCCGCTTCCACACAAAAGGCTGAGGGACAGACCTCCGCTCCCTTCTGAGACAAGGACTGCTGCCTCCATCAAGCAGCCGCACTGGAGCATTTTGCCCAAAGTGGGTTATGGAATGCAACTTTCGTCACTCAGGTTTAAAATATAAACTGTGCGGACAAAATAATACAGAAAAGTTGTTACCCAATAGGAGAGCCCAGTGATTTTAATTAAAGAAAGATTAAGCCGTTCCCTTTCTTTTTAAGGGTTGGACCCAGCCAAAGTCTCCTGCAGGGAAATAATCAGGAGCTGGTAGGAATGTGCACTGTACTAATTTCGAACCAGCAGGACACCTGCCCAACGGAGAGCAGGGACACACGTGCCTGCTCGCATGCCGCTGGACAAAGGGCCACAGAAGCAGCACGGTAGTCGGCCTCTGCGGAGGGGTGGGTTCCCTGCTTGCTAAAAAAAAGTTTCCAGTCTTTCAGTTGTGGCTGAATGCGTTCTACTGAAGATGAGCAGGTTCTCCCCTTGGGTTCTGAGGCCCCCAGGATGCCTGTGAACTCCGCACTACCACCCACGTGACGCAGGGCTGGAGCCCCAGACATGGATGGGTAGGGACCACGCATGTTCTGCAACTGCCTCGCCTTCCTGCTGTCCTGGTCACTGCGCAGGTTCTGGGCACCAGCAGCGCTCTCTGCAGCTGCCCTGGCTTGTGCATCCCCAGATAGCTCACCAGCAAATCAGAGAACCTTACGGTCTTGGGAATTAACAGAGGGGGCAGGCATGGCCAGCTGGGCTTTCTAGAGGTCAAGGGTAAGCAATTGGGAGAATTATGAAAAGGAAACATGCAGAATTACCTGGAGAGCCTGCTGCTAACAACTCTGTTCTGCTGACAACAAAGGTACGAGACAGGGACAAAGGAACTGAAAAACGGAGAAAAACAGGATGAGACTGTGTCAACAGGCACGAAAGGCTATCTCTGTAACCAGGGACAGGAGTGGATACCTGTTCCACCTATATATGAGCACCAATCCCAGAGATCTGGAGGCGGCGTGGCATTAGAAAAGGAGCACACCTGGCTACTTTCCAGAAAGAGGACTGGAGGGAGCCGTCACCAGGAGAAATCTCAGCCACATGGTGGCTTCTCCAGCCTAGAAATCTCTAATCCAGTAATGCCGGACCGGGGCTGAGAGAGCCAAAACAGAGTATCATCAAGGCCTGGTCACAAACAGCCAGGCCAAAGGGAGCACTCAACTCCTCCAGACCCAGCCACACCCAGCACACCTGCCCTGTGCGCCCACAGCACTCCTCTTGCGGGCAGGCAACTTGCTATCCAATGCCTCTGTATACCCGGTCTTGCTTGTCATTTCGACCTGATGTTTGGAATTTCCTTAGAATTATCTCAAATTTCAAAACTGAGAACAGGGAGTTAAGAATATTATGCCCCAGTTTCCTGAGAATGGCTGACCAAGGTCACATTTATCACTGCTGGCTGGACCCTGAGCGACAGCCCCAGGCACACGCACTTCCCAGGTGCATCTGCTGAACCCGGGACGCTGGGTTTCACCCCCCACAGGGGCTTTGGTAAACGGAAACAGGCACCCACCTCATAGGGCAGTGGCCTGCACTAACTGCGCCTCCCTGTCTTCCTGTAAATACATGAAGTCCAGATCTTAGCTGTAAGGTCAAGTACAACAAGGGGCTTTGGAATAAATGACATGCTGTTCACGAGCATCCCCCTTCTTGGTTGCTCCAAACTAGGCGAGGAGCCTCTGGTGGCCAAAAAGGTTTCCCAGTGAAGGCCCCTCTTCGCTTCCTTTATGAATGGGACCTGGCCTTCAACTAAGGGCCAGGATGCTGGAGCTAATGTTTAGGTTTAAAGAAACAGTAACCAGTACAAGTACACAATTTACTCTTCTTTCTTTTCAAAACCACCTTACAGACCCAATTCCGCTAACCTAGGGCTAGTTTGAGTTTGGTTGCCAAAAATGGTTACACTTAACAGCTTTCCTCTACGTTTTAAAGCATATGCCGCATTCGTGTTGAGTGGCACTGCCGCCTGTCCTAACGCTAGGGGAGAACGGTCTGCCCTGTGGGAAGGAGCAGACCCAGGGCCCCTCACTACCGAGCCACGTGAGACGCGACCTGCACCGGCTGCGAAGTGCCCTCCTCCTCTGATGGACAGGCATCTCCAAGCTCACCAGACTCCCCGACCGGGTACAGAAGGGTCCTGGGGCGACAGGAACCGCTGACAATGAGACAGTGCACCCCTGGGATTCCAAAACCTGCACACAGGTGAGGACACCAATCTGCTGAGTACAGTGGAGGGGCACAGGACATCTTGTTTGGAGGCACAGCCCATCTGTCCCTTTTCAGACTGGTTTTCAGAAGCACCAGCCTTTCTTTTCAGGACAGGCTGTGCCAGTGTCCCAGCACAGCGTGTCACTTGGTATTTTGGCCACAAGGTGGCACTCCAACACCTCCATCTACCTTCCAGGCCTGCTCCTGCCAGCATGCAGGTGAGCGCAGGTGCTTGGAAAGACGCGAGGCAGAAGTGGGTCCAGTCCCACACCCACGGGAAGGTGGCAGCCGGGACCCATGCCAACACTCCTCCTAGGACAGGGGCAGCCTGCTGGCATCTTGTGCTCACAAAACTTGGACCACGCCCAGGCACACTTGCCCGTGCTGGCAACCCTGCCTGCCACTGTCTGGCCTGGGAGAGCAGCACTGGGCCGCAGATAACAAGGAAGAGGTGAATGGAAACCTGCGGACAGCTTCTCCTCTCCGGACCGCGGGAAGGCCTCGGAAGGCCTGCGAGCTGTGGGGCCCTGGCCCAGAGCAAGCGGAGTGGCCGGCCGGCCCCCAGGAGCCGCCGCCCAGTGTCACGGAGGCTGCAGAGGCACAGCACGTGTGCACAGACTGCACACACATGCTCCGGGTGCAGGCCACACGGCGAACAGACGCTGAGCAGGAAGCCGCCCCTCACTGCTGAGCGTCACCGCAGACCACCCGTGCACCACGAGGGAGAGCCAGGCACAGCCTGACCGTCAGTGCCACAGCGTCCATGACGACAGGGGTCGCCTTCAAGGACAGGACTCAGGAGCGTGAGGCCGCCGCAGGGCTTGTGGAGCTCCGTCCTGGTGTGGCACCGGAGGACACAGGTGCGCTCAGCAAGACTCGAGGAGGGACGTGCTCAGCACTGCAGTCTCGGAATACGCGACGCGCATCAGCGAGGAGTGAAACGCAGACAGAGAGGTCGGCGGGCAGGGCGCTGGTCATGGGAGGGCAGGACCTCTGCCGGCCGGCGCAGACTCACCTGGGGAGGCTGTGAGGGCCATCACACCGTAGTATGAGAAAGCGCTCGCTTCAAACTTCATGCCTTCTTTCCCAGCTTCCACTTCCACTTTCCCCTGAGGAAAGAAAAGGGGAAGCTCTCAGACGGCTTGCCCAAGCCCATCTGCCCACTTCATATGAAATAAGGTCCTGCTTCAGAGTCCCGCCTAATTCCTTTCCCAACAATCCCAGAGGAGCACAGCCTCAGACAGTCCTTTCCACACAGTGGCTAATTACTCTGAAACAGGAAAAAAACGAGATTCGGATGGACGTGTGGAGGTGACCGCCAAGCCTGACGGCACATGACTGAGCCCGCTTAGTATTGTGCCCATATCCCTAGCTCCGAGGCTCTTCAATAGAAAGGCAGAGACCAGCACTACGGAGGTGTGGCCCTGCTGCCCCCAGAAGCAGGAGTGGGGGCAGACCAGGGTCAAAGCCAGGCCACAGCCCTCTCTGGTCTCCTGAGCACAGCGTCCTGACCAGGTGAGCAGCTGCCTGGTGGCCAGGGCCCCATCCAGACGCCCTGGAACCCCAGAACCCAGGACACCGTCCCTCGCCGTCCTGGAGAAGTACCTGAGAGAGGCTCCCGCAGAACCAACTTGCCCTAGCCTCTCCTTTCTCTAGCCCTCACCCTCTCCTCCACACCGATGAGCCCTTCTGGGAAGGCCATGCCTCATCCATTCTGTGGCCCTATGACCCACCACGACCCTTCCAGGGAAGGGGTTCAACATATCCTATCTGAGCTACTGAAACACTCTCAAAAGGGTTTTGCTACAGAGCTCCCAGCCCCACGTCAGAGCAGCTCCTGCGCAAGCTGCCTTCGACTGCCTCTCCAGAGACAGGGTGGCCACGGCACACACCACAATGTTTTATTCATTCACCAAATGCATATAGCTCCATGGAGCAGACACAAACATCTCCCTCCTTCAGGGAGAGGGGCTCAAAGATTTAATGACCAAAGAGCAAGCTTTCAACCAACATGCTACATTAGCCAGCTGACGTAAACCTATTATTCTCATCAATTCCTATTAAAATTACCTTATATATTAAATTCCCAGTTACAGAGGACTGTTCTCAAAATACTCTCTTTTAGGTTTTCCTTCACTCAATGGAAATAATGGTCTTAATTCTTTTGTTATAAAAAATAGCAACTTAGAATGCAGGAGTTTTGTTTGTTCTTGGCGGTTCCGAGTACCAAATCCACGGCCTCGCACATGCCAGTCAGCCTGGCTCCACCCTCAGAACCCCATCCATCTGTTTAGTGGCACTGGAGAGTGAATCCAGGGCCTTCTTCCCTAGCTATACCCTTGGCCTTTTGTATTTGGAGGTAGGGTTTCACTAAATCGCACAGGGGGGACTCAAAATTGTAACTCCTGTGCCTCAGCCTCCCAAAGGCTGCTGGGATTACAGGTACACAGCAGCACCGAATTTCACATCAACCCACGACCAGGCACTGAGAACACTGCCGTGCAGGCAGGGCCTACCGGGGAGGCTGAGCTGATGAGGAGACAGGCTTGCCCTTGAGCACCAACTCAGGGTTGAGGGAAGTGCCTGAAAGCCAGTGAGCCAAGCCCAGAAAAAAAGTGTGAGAGTGTAAGGCGTCCAGAGAAAGGCATGTACGAGCCATGTTCACACAGAAAGGGATGTCTACGGGCAGGCTGGGTCTGTGTGAACAGGGGAGGGTGCGTGTGAAGGCAGGCTGGTGGGTGGCAACAACAGGCAGCAGCCCCACAGGCGTGCACGCACAGGGGAGGTGGGGACAGCCTGGAGGCAGCACAGTGAGCACACAAGGCCACAGGCTAAGGAGGACAAGCTCCTAGGCAGGCAACACTGTGCCAGGAAGACAACATCCGGGCAATGCTGGGACACAGGCCGCAGGTCCAGAAACCAATGGCAACAAGAGAAGCTCTGAGAGGGGAACCAACCAACCCGGCAGTCCTGGTAGGGAGAGACCGTAAGGCGGGAGAGGGACTCGGACATCCCGAGAGAAGGTGGCTCGCAGCAACGTGAAGACGTGCCACGCCAGGGGACAGAAGAGTCTGGAGTGAGTGGCAGGGCTAGGAGGAGAGACCAACTCCCAGCTCAGAACAAGGCCTTCCTCCTGAAGTCCGAGGTAGAAGGAAGGTCAGGGAAGGGGTCAGGGACAGGCCAATGGAGAGATGGGGGGCCGAAGAGAACAGCCAGGAGCCAGAGGGACCGAAAGGGCACTGGGCAGAGGCCCCTGGCACGCGCCTCACCACGGAAATGGCCAGTCGGGGTGGCTGGAGGGGCAGAAAGCAGCCTGCAGTCACAGTGTGCACGGCAGTGTGGGGGCAGGGCTGAAAGCCCAGGCTCGCAGGAGAGTGGGACGCAGGGTCCCCTGGAAAGAGGGAGAGGAAAGACAAGAGAACGAGATGAAGAGTTTGCGTCCTCTCAATGACCTGCATCCTTCCTGTGAGCTCGGGGTCTGGGTCCGAACGAGTCCTGTGCACTTTCTGGACATACTGTCTAGGTGGTCTCCACTGGACCTGGGGCTGCTTTTACAAGTTACAGGGCCTTGTGCGTTCTGTCTCCGCAAACAGGTGTCACTCCACTCTTCGTGGTGCAGGGCGGTCATCACCAGCAGAGCAACCCAGGAGCCCCGGGGAAGGGGCTGTCCTGCAGCAGCCTTCCCGTGTGAACTCAAGACAGTACCCCCTGCTGGTCCCGAGATCCCACTCCCAGGCCTCTGAATTAAAAGGCAATGGTGTGGCCTGGGCCTTGGGTATTTTAAAAGCTCTTCTGGTGATTTCTGCAAGCAGCAAAGTCTGGGAGTCAGTGCTTAGTGAGCGACAGCCCCAGCTCTGGCCTCTCAGGAGACTCTCACAGAGGCACAGAGGCTGTGGGCAGCTAATTACTCGGCTGCAGGAAGACTCCCAGCCCAAGACCACAACCAGCTCTGCCGTGGAGACCAGGACCCCGGGCAAGGGAGGTCCAGCTCGGCGCTTTCCAGATGCTGCGGAGTCCAGGCCAGGCTGCAAGGACCACAGGAAAACACGCCTGAGCCCCAAACTGGGGGCAGACACAGGGCTGGCCCCAGTTTCCACTTCATAACTGAATATGACCATCACTTCATAAAAGACCAGGTATCTCAAGCCCCCAAATTCCAAAAACACAACTCAATTTCAGGACAAGTTTCAAACTGAACACATACGCAGCTTTATGGAAAATCCATCGTAACCATCTATCCCATTGGGTGAAACTGGTGAAAACTGTCACTTAGGAACCATGGCACTAGATTAACTTTACTCCACTTATAAAATCATAGCAGCTTACAGGATCCCTGTAGTTCTTCCGGTTTTAACATCCCCTGACTTTACAATCAGGTTTAAGGTTTAAGAACGACCCTCTCCACCGGAGCTAAGCTCTTCTGGCACGTGAGTTTTAGGAACAAAACTTCAACAAACACATCTGCTCACTGGTGCGTACCAACAGTTCCAAAAGAGACCGTTTTCAAGTAGCACCTCTGCACAGATTAGGGCCACCCCTGGAGGACATGACTTGCCTGGCTCAGCTCAACTAGTGCCTTCTTGGGTCAGAGATTTAGCTCAGTGGTTCTTCCGCCTGCCTTGCAAGCACAAGGGCCCAAGTTCCATACCCGGTACAAAACAAAACAAATTTATACCCTCTGAACCATCTGGGTGGCCATCTTTAACCAAATGCTACCACCGGGTGTCAGAGCCCCCCCCGCTGCCCTGGGCCTCACTGTGCGACTCCACTGGTCTGGAGCCTGGCTCCCCAACCCAGCTCTGCTTGTTAGAACAGCAGCACTCTGCCTCTGCCTGAGGCCAACCACGTCAGGACCAGGCCTGCAACCCACCAGACCCCAGGGAGTCTGTACCCACTAGGCTGAGAAATGCTGAGCTCCAAGAAAGGGACGGGACCAGACTCATGGGGAAGTAGCTCATTCCACCCGGTGGAGGCCACATAACTGCCAGCTCACTGCAGACATCAAGCAGCCCAGGCCACCAGGCTCACACAGCGCCTGGCCACGGTGCAGATAAGCAGGGCTCTGTGCAAGCCAATCAGTGCACAGCTTGACATTTATTCTGTATGTCCATTTACACTTAGAATTAAATAATTTGCAAACTGGTTTTGCCTTGTCATGAGTAAGAGTTCTAAGCAGAAGGCGCTAATAATCAGTTTTATATTTACACTTAATATATTTTTTAAAAATAGGGAACCATTGAGAGTCCAAGTAATTTCTTCAAAATGGGTGCATTACCCATTACCTGAACTTAAAACTGCAGATCCATTATTACACCAGGACACAAAGACTTGACATTCAAAACCCTGTAAGAAAATTTGCAGTTTTTTGTTTTGTTTGTGGTTTGCTATGTAGTTCAGGCTGGCTAGAACTCACTATGTAGTCCAAGCTGACCTCAAACTATAGGCGATCCTCCTGCCTCAGCCTCACTACTGCTGGGATTACAGGTGTGTACCACCACGCCTGGCAGAAAATTTGGTATTGACAGTTTAAATTATTCTCCCAATAGGATAAAATCGTATTAAGTAGTGTCAAAGGCTGTATGATTTCTATTATTTTTGGCTTCTATCTAGGTGGCCCCCTCAAAGCCTCATAGGTGGGCTTTGAGAAGGTGGCTGGATCATGGGTGTGTGATATTGCACTATGGGTGCATATGTGGTAACTGATTAGTCCAGTGGTTTGGCACAGTTCTGGGTGTGGATAATAGGAAGAAGGCTCATTTTGGGTGTGGATGGTACCAACAAAGAGGCTTCTATCATGGACTGAATAAAGAGGAAAAGGAAAGCTCCCTGATTGCTGCCTCTGCCTGCCACACCATGAACTGTCTCCTCCTCTGCGATGCCCCTCTGCCTTGGAGCCAGCCAACTATGGACTAAAACCTCTACATGCTGTGGGCCTTGAACTTGTGGGTGGTCAGGTATTTTATCCCAGCAACAAGAAAGTAACTAAAACAGATTTGTACCAGAGAAGTGACACTACCTGACCGTATGGTGCAGGAACCCTTGGAACTAGCTTATGGGAAGAGTTTGGAAAGGTTTGGAGATGCCAGCTGAAGCAGCAGCCTTGGAATGC